GTAGGTCAGTCCCTAGTTCTGTGTTTGGTTGTTTTGTTAGATATCTTGTCTTAAATGTACAGGGAGTTTGAGTAATAAATCAGGTCTTCTTTTCTTTGGCAGGGAGAGGAGGATTGTGTTTAAGGCATTTTTTTTGTTTAGGTTGAAACCACAAAACAAACAGGTTCCTAATTCAGTCCTGGTGCAGGATTACTGAAAAGTGCAGGAATGTTATCAGGCAATTTGGAGATTGTAGTGATTGTTTCACTGACTTGCAATAGTCACAGCTTTTGTCACCAGAATCATACTCTGACTGTAACTTTGGCCTGAGAAGGAGATGTGGGATTGAAAACCAAACAAACCCTGCAGCTGTTGATTTAAAGAAACATTTGTGAGTGGGTAGAAGTCTTTTTTTTCTCCAGAACAGCATGATGGGATAGCTCTGCAGCTTTCTGCAACAGGCTCAATATGTCTACTGATTAAAGAAAACAGTGCATTAATTGCTTATGCCTTAACAAAACTCCACAGTTGACACCTCTAGACCTTCAGGAAAAGATAACTGAGTGGAAGACATTCTCTTCCACTTCTGCCAGCAGATGGCTTTGTTTGTAAACTTAGCGTTTTGCAGGCCAGCATTTGGTAATCTGGGAGCAGTAGTTTGAATGCTAATAATACTCATCAGAAATTGTTATTTATTAAGCCATCTGACATTTACGAAGAATAGCCTGAGCTTGCCAAGTGTTTCTAGCTCATTGCTGAGGAGCATGCCGCGGGTTAGAGCATTGAATTAGCAACCCCATGTCTGGGCCCCTGGGTGTTAATGAGCCTCAGCCTCCCCTGGGTCCTGCTCCCACTCTTAGGTGGGCCCAGAAGCCTGTGTCAGACCAGCCTAGTGCTCTCAGTCTGTGTGGGAGCTGTGTTACCAGTGTGCCTGTTCCGGTCCCAGCTGCTGTGGTGTTGACCTGGAGCCTACCTTTGTACCATGACTACCAGGCTGCTCATGGGACCTGCTTCTCTTACCACCCATGCAGGCAGCAGGTCACTGAGCAGTGCTGGTCCCAGGGTGAAGCTGCTTTCTCAAATCACTTCTTGTCTGGTTCGTCTCTGTGGTGGCCAAGCTGCAGCCACCTAGAGCAGCTTTATGGCCAAACTGGAGCCAGGAAACAATTTCAGTAGCTGTAGATATACTTATTGGAGATGCTGCTGCAAAGCTTTGGCTGCCTTGAGTTGGCAGAGGGAAAGGGTTGATGAAGCAAGACCCGAGCACTGACTTTGGTGGAACTCCTGGTGCAGCTGTGGGAGAGGGACTTACTGCTTTGCTTTACAGTCCCTGTGACACAGAGATGTGACTCAAGAAGCATGTTGTAAAGTGAACTTGTTAAGTGCTTTTACAATGCCTTTAAAGTAAACAATTTATGTCCTTTTATCCTCATGGATAACCCTAAAGAGCTCCCACTGATATCCATGAAGGTGGGATCTAGCTCCTGGCTGATGTTCCATATTACTAACTTCAAATAAAGATTTATGCTTAGATAAAATAAACCTTAGAAGCCAAAACTAATTTTAGAGAGTAACTTTACTAAAAATAAATTTGCATATCTTTGGTTGGTAATAAATGGCTTGTTTAAGAAATGTAATTTGATTCATCTATGACTCAGGTGTTATTGTATTAGGTAACAGGCTAAGAGGAATCTTTCATTCATACTGCAGGTCTCTTAATGCTTCTGTATTTATTCTGCTTAGTTTTGTGAGAATTGATAGGATTATAAAAGTGTAATATTTGCTTTAAACATTTTAATGATGTGTAATGCAGGTGCATTTGAGTAAAATATTTTTTGTAGTGTCAAAAAGTAAGTTTTTTTCTTTTGTTCTCACTGAAATAGCTTGTAAATTAAGTTGCTCTGTATGGCTCTTTTGAATTTGCTTTAAAGTACATATGTACAGATATGAGGGATGACCTTCTAGATTGAACAAGTTAGATATATAATACAAAAAGCAAAACTGGAATTTTTGTCTCCTGTAGGTTTGCGAGAAACAGAGAATAATAAGTCTGAGAAGAAATTTTTAAAAAAATCTGTTTTGTATCTTGAGCTGTTAGCTTCCTGTAGTGTTTAGCATTGTAATAAATTTAGAAGTTGGTTTCATTTGTTGGATTTTTTTTAACCCACTAGAAGTATATCCCTAAAGAAAATACTTTCCTTTTCTTGTTTTGCTGTTATTTCTGAAGGTAGCCTTGATGACGTCTATGAAATACTACTTTTTTTTTTAACATTTTATTTTATGTTGTTCTGCATTGATAGCAAAAGACAAAGAACCCATTGAATGCATTATTTCTATTCATAGTGACATAATTGGTCATACAAACCTTCCTGAAGTAAGTAAATATTTCTTTGATTTGGGTAATTGCTGTTATATAATACGTGGAAGTATCACGCAGTAGTATACTGAAGAAAAAGCTACTTGAAAAGGATGTTTTAAGATACAGCGGATATATCTGTATTCTTTTTTTTATTTTATTTGTGCTGGGTAGCCTAAGTATACCTAATTCCTGTTGTCTACAAAGACAGAGTATGTGACGTGGGAATGTTATCAAACCAGTTGTGTTCTCTTATCAGTGTCCAGCCTATTTGATTCTACTGTTGACTGTAAATAAAAAGAAACTTGAAATCAATGGCTCTGCTTGGTATAGAGACTCTTTCTCCCTGAATTATACAAAACATTTCTCCCTTGCAAATGAGAAGGGAGCTAAAACTGAAGAATGTAATGTTTTCACCTTTTCTTTGAGGGGTAGGGCTGATGCAACCAAATTTACAGCTAGCCGAGTAGAAAGAAAGAAAGAAAGGAACAGATTTTATGTATTTTTGCCAACTGTTGTAGAAATCCATCTGAGCTATTGCAAAATTTGTAAGAGTTCATGAGAGAAAGAATGAGAGCATACATGTGTTTTTCTCATTCTGATTTGTTTGAAAGGATTTGGCCATCTGCAGCATACAGGAAGTGCGTACTGCCTATTGATGGTGGGATAGGGGAAGGCACGTAGAGTTTCTTCTTGTTAGTTTGGTCACTAATATGGTGCTAAAAGAGGATTTGTTTTTTAATATAATACATGCTCTCCTCTTTTTTGAATTTTTTCTTTAGTGTCTTGTGTGCAGGTGAAGAACATTGCCGTGCCTTTGGCAGGTGGATGTCTCTGTGAGAGAAGGCTTTTCTACAGCTTCAGCTGTGGGCTATTCCTGTCTTACCCAGCCTGTACTTCTCTTTCTTAGAGACCCCAGACTCCAAGCAAGGAAATTTTCCTTAAAAGCACCAGTTAATGGATTGCTCAGACAATTAGATTTGTTTACACATACTTAAAATTGATCCTTCATTTTTTGGTACTTCAGTTTTAAGAAAATAATTTGGCCTTTTTTGTTCTTAAAAGTAGTCTCTGTCTGTGCTAACACTGCTATATTTTCATTGCCATATTAACTTTTTGAGACAGAAAAGTTGGAGTAATCACAGCTAGTTGGTCCAGTCAATTGGTTTTTTGGTGAATTGTTTTTGTTGGTCTGCTTTTATTTTTTTCTGGAGTAATACTCTATGTGCCAAGAATTCAGAGGCTGTTTTAAGCTGTGCTTGACTTTGCAGTGCTCCTGATACACTATCATCTGTCCTCAGGAGCACACTTTGTTAGAAGTTCTGCACCAGCTTTTCTGTTGTTAAACCATCTTCAGCAAGGCCAAATTATCTCTCTTTGTTAGAGTATACTGGCTTTCTGACTCACTTTGTTCTTTTATGTAAGGGGAGGTTCTTCATATATCCTGTCCTGATGAATGTATAAAAATGCAGGATTTGTTTTTACTGTGGGAAATTTTGTATTTCAGCATTGGTGAATCAACCTCACCTTATTTTTATCACCTTAATTTATTACTTTTTGGTACTGGGGATCCAAAACTGGATTGCCTGTTCCAGATGCATATTCCTGGATTGATGGCTAAAGGCAAATAATAGGTTATTAGTGGAATCTTAGCCTGTAGATGTACTCCAGGATATTCTTGACACTCCTTGCTGCCTTACTCGTGTTTAGCCCACTTTCTGTCCAGACCCCCAGCTCCTTTTGGACAATGCTCTCAGGTATGTGGTGTGATTCTGTGGGTTGACCTGTGCAGAGCCAGGAGTAGGACTCAATGATCTTTGTGGATTCCTTCCAACTCAGGATAATCTGTGATTCTATGATGATATTTGTAGTCCTTCACTGGACCCTCTCCAGTAGTTCCTTGTGCCTTCTGCACTTCAGGCAGTGTGGCTGGATCACTTGCTGGTGAAGACTGAGGCAAAAATGTCATAGAGTATGTCTGCCTTCTGCATGTCCTGGGTGGCCACATCTCCCATTTCCTTCTGAAGGCCCACATTTTCCTTAGTCTTCCTTTTATCAATGAAATACCTATAGAAGCTTTTCTTGTTGCCCTTGACATCCCTGGCCAGGTTTAATTCTATCAGAGGGTTTTTTTTGTAACCTGATTCATGGCTACTTGGACAATTCCTCTGTAATTCTTCCCAAGCTACCTGTCCTTGATTCCACCCTCTGTAGGTTTCACTTTGTTTGTGTCTGTAAAGGAGTTCCTTGTTCATCCATGCAGGCTTCCTAGCATTTCTGCCTGACTTTCTTATTGTTGGAATGCATTGTTTTTGAGCTTGGAGGAGGTCATCCTTGAATATTAGTGAGTTTTCTTGGGCCTTTTTTCTGTCCAGGACTTTATCCCAAGGTACTTCACCAAACAGATCCCTAAAGACACCAAAGTCTGCTCTCCTCAAGACCGCGGTTTGTGGTTTTTCTTAGCTCCTTGGTGGTTGGAGTGATGTCTAGAATGCTGCATTTCTAGACAAGCAGAAGTGTCCTGGTAGCAAAATATTACTCATGTGCATGTAATCTCTTACAAGCACAGTTTTTACCATTCCAGCCACCTATACTAATCATAAATATTGTTTTCATATTTTTAGCTCTGTACCTTTCTTACATTTTACATCAATTATTTCTCTAGGTATTGCCAGGCATCTGAAGTGGTTGACCAAGCCTAGGGACTTGGAACAGTGGTAAGTAAATGAAATTCAGATTATATTATCTGTGTCTTCATGTGCTGGCTGACTCTGAAGTTTGACTGCTGCTTGAAGGATGGAAGATGTGCAGTAGGTTATGGCTTTTGAATGTTTTCTTCTGAGCATCAAGTTCCTTTTCAGAGCATTCACAGATTTTAAGAAGAACAGGATGTAGTCTCAATGATTGCTTTTGATAAGTGAAGCTTCCTCCCCACACCACCCTGACTTAGAAAAAACTTAAAATATTCTGGGTACATCAGTTCGGTCTATACTTGTTGAAGTGGTAACATGACCCATTATATTAAAAACTGTAGTTTTTGCATCTTAGGTGCTAATTATGTACCATTTTGACTAGAGAAGGATTCAGGAAGGATCTAAGGAAGAACTTTAAAAATTTCAAATACTTTCAAAAGTGAGTTTTATAATGCATTTATAAATATAATGTTTGTGCTTCCTTATCTGTAGGTAAAGGCTGGCAAGGAGAGCCTTACACAGGCAGAGATAAACTCATCAACTCTTAATTGTATTTAATAATCATTGAATACAATAGAACAATAGAATCATTAAGGTAGGAAAAGACCTTCAAGATAATTGAGTCCAACCTTTGACTGAATACCATCATGTCAACTAAACTATGGCACCAAGTGCATGTCCAGTCAATTCTTGAACACTTCCAGGAGTGGTGACTCCACCACCTCCCTGGGCAGGCTGTTCCAATGCTTAACCACCCTTTCAATGAAAAAATTGTTCTTGATATCCAACCTGAACCTCCCCTGGTGCAGTTTGAGGCCATTTCCTCTTGTCCTGTCACTAGTTGCCTGGGAGAAGAGGCTGATAGAAGAGGAGTATAATAATACTTTCAAAAAGCAATTGCATTTTGTTGCCAAGAGATAGGTATTTGGAATAATGTCATATTTCTGTTTCTCTAGTTTCCATAGTAGAGCCAGTTTATGTGAAAAATTTCATATTTATATTAAGAGATGTCATTTGATTTCAGTGCTGTTGGCAGCAAATATAAGTTTTTAGCACCTATGTATTTGGTTCTATGTGCTGTTGACTTTGGTGGCCAATACAGTGCAAATAAAAACAGCCCTTGCCTTGTTTTTATTATTTTTTGCTTTAGTGACCTCTGAAAATCATGCTTGTTCTTCATTTCTAAAAATACCATTTAGTTAAAACTGAAGGAATTTATCAGTTTAGAATATTAGCACTCATGTAGTTCTGTATTTACTATGTCCTTTCTATTTGTGCTTGTATTTTGCCAGGAAAAGCAAATAAGTGAATTTGTCAGTTAGTTTTGGATAATTCCTTTTTGCCTAGTGTTTATCTACCCCTGTGTCCCTATCCTCCACTGCCTGACAGTTGTCAGGACTAAAATGCTGTATTCGTAGTGTCATTAGTGCACAACTGGAATGAAAGCATCATAGACAGTTTACATATCTTTATTCAACAAAAAATATAGGTATTCTTTCTTTCAAGTTCGATGCTGTTTAAGAAGTGGATAGTTAAGAATTAAAGAGACTTATTATTAATTTAAAATTGATTCTTGGCTAGTGTTACAGATAATGTAACTTATTTTAAGACAATGTGCCTCAGACCAGTTAAGAGGGGAGTCCTGTAGCGCTTAGCAGTATAATAGAAACACTAGTACATGCATTAAGGTGAAGGTAACTTAAACAACAGCTTGAGCAACTGTCAGCAGCAGTTGCAAGCCAACACAGAGAGTTAAGTGTAGTGGTGATTGGCAAAATTGCACAGTTGATAAGATTAGTTCTGTGCAGATCTAATATGTTGGAAAAACCCCTGAAATTATAACTTTTTCTTCATAATAAAATATGTAAATAATATAATTTCTCTCCAGATGCGCTAATGAGCACAACAAAGGCTAGTTGTCTGGGTTTTCTTCAAAGGCTTTGCATAATTTGTCTTGGGGGAACATTTGAAAATATCTAAGCAGTTCATTCCCTAAAAATCTTCACTTCAATCGCAGTTAAATAATTCATAAAATTGTAACAGGAAGCAAGAAATAAACAACAAAGATAAAAATTTAAAGGATCAAATTACCTTCTGATAATCTCTTAAAGAAATCTTTGGTATTTTGATTACTCTTTCCTCTTCTTTTTCTCCCCAGTGTTTCAATGTAATTATAAGAACATTCCCATACTTGCTGACTTGTATGTGTGCTCCTTTTGTTGCAATATGAGTAGGGTAGAAGCTTATGATGCCTTTTCTAATAAACATGAAAGATAGACTCTGATATTGTATTACGCAAAAAAGGACCAGTTATTGTAGTTTTCCATATAATGCTACTAACCAAAAATTGATTGCTTAGTACAGGGCAGCGAAGATCCTTCCAGGACCTGCATATCACAGCTGATGGTAATCCATGCTCCAGTGAGATGCCTCAGCAAAGGCAGAGGCTGGTGTTGAACATCTCTGGAAAACAGCGGGTGCTTGGGGAGTGTTAGCCTCAGGACTCTGATGGGTGACTGTGAGACTTGTGTCTGAGGATTTGGAGGTTTGATCCTCTCTTTTAATAGCTGAAGTTTCATCAGCCACTTGCTAGTAATTTTGACAGAGGCTGATACAAAGGTGCAGTTCTTGAACTGTGGACTTTTGTCATCCCAACTGCTCTGAAACCTGCCAGATGATGTGACAAATATTCTTCTGTGTTACATGAAGATAAATGTTTTGACTGTCTAGTCCTGTTCCTCTTTAGGTGATAATACTTACCTAACTTTCCTGGATAGGGTCCAGGTTGGCACTGGAGGATGAGGGTTATGCTTTCTGGCCTTGGGAACAACTGGGAGAAACCGAGGTGAGGGAAAGCAAGTAGAGTGTCTTTCTGAAGGTCTTTCCTCGTGTTGTGGTAACACTCAGAAGAAGGAATGCTGTGGTTTGCTCAAGCTTTTCTAGCTGTCATCTTACATATGTGCTGAACTTTGCCTCGTGATGGTAACTTCAGGAATTACTTTAGCTGGAAATAGAAAATTTGGTAATAGTTTTGAGGCACTAAAGGGTCTCTGTTAAACCCACACAGTTTACAACAGAATACAGATAGGGACAGGGAGTAGATTTTTGGGGTTTTTGTTTGGTTTGGGATATATGGCTTGTTTATATCAGTACAGTTTTGTACTATGTACATAATGGCACAGAGACAGGGTGGGTTTTTACCTCTGGATTTGAAAAATAGTGTGTGGCCAGTATTCCTGGTTTTACTTGGTTTTGTTAACAGCCAGAATAAATAGGAAGTTAAATACTTGTACTGCATTTCCTCTTTGAATAATCTCCTTTCTGTGTCTGTGCTTTGCCTTTTCATTTTTATTTTTCATATAATTTATCTTTGTGTACTCCTTCTTTAGAGAACTTCAAGGTGATTTTAAAGCACTAATCACAAATTGCACCCCACTTCTATTTAATAAAAACAATAGTAGTGGACTTTTTTTCCAATTTCTTTCCTTTTGTCTGTCATTAGAGGGAAGAAAGGACAAGTTACTGAGTCTGAAAAATATTGTGGTTTCAAGTTCTTTCCTTGGGAAGGCACTGGAAACTTTCAGATGCTGTAAACCACATTGAACTGATAATTTGCTTATGGAGTAGAAAAAACAATGGTTAATTTTAATGTTATTATTTCTGGAATTTAGTGCAGTTCCTGATGTGGAGATGCCATGCCACAAGCAGTGGCTAAATAGCAGTTGCTGCTACAGGAAGAAGTGTGGTGTAGCAGATAGAACTGCCTGTCCTGACTCCTGCTTTCTACTTCTGCCTCTGTTGTTAACCTACTAAGTCATATTAGGAAAGTTAATTAATTTCTTACTCTTTTTGTCGGCTTAGATTGCAAGGCCTTTTGTCCAGGTACTGCATCTCAGTTCATGTCACTGTACTTTGGTGCCTGTGGATTCCTTCAGTTGCTATAGTATTACTATTGTTACTTGCAGGGTTTCTCATTAGCTCTCAGGAGCTCACCATGTGACATGGAATTCTGAAAACACTTGAATATTTGTTCTACAAGAAGAAAGCCAGTAATACTTTTCAGAGCCTTGTTTAATAGTGCATCTGGTCTTGCACAGCTGCAGGCTGATGCCAAAAGGGACAATATCACTTTAGCCTGTTCCTTCCCTCTTGCATCAGCCCCCAGTCCCAAGGTGAGTTTAAGGTAAGCAGCTAATTCAGAAAAAAAAAGAACCTAACTGCCTGGGAAGGAAAACTAAACCAGATAACTAGCTGGCTTGGCTTGTCCTGTGGCTGAGAAATTACTAGATGTAACAAAAGGGACAAAGATGTAATAAGCAGCTGGAATTAGGTGGGGAGAGTAGTACTGTTTCTTTCAGCAACAGGTAATAAATATACCAGATGAGACATAGCATGGAAACCAAGGCTTATTAAGAGCTGCATTTTACAACCAGATTTTGAACACAGCAGAAGAATGTGCTGTGTTCAATGCAAGTGCACAATGGATGTGACACCCCAGCTTCAGTTCCGCTGATGTTAGCTGCCAATATTAGATGTTCTTCACTGAAAGTATTTTTTTCTAATACAGCTTTTAATTGTTTTTTTTCCCCTCAAGTAACAGTCATCTTTGTGATCCACAGTATAATTTCAAGGCACATTTCTGATGCCTAAATATAACTTTTATTTAATTTTAATTGAAATTGAAATCCACTTAATCTTGCAAATTTAGCTGAGAGAAGTAGCTCTTGAGGTGATCCTTTCTAAAGACCTTGTATTCATAATTTCCCCTTTAAACTCTGTCAAGAAACTTGATTTATCTTGAAAATGACTTATGTAATTGGAGTTGACTCTCTGAAGGGCATTTTTCAACCACTGCCCTTTCTCTTAAAAATGTATACAACAGATTATATCAGTTTCTTTGATCTTACTTTCTTTGTGAGCCTTATGTAATAAGCTCTTGTATTGAAGGACCTGTGTTTTCTTTCCCACTCACCATAGGTTTCCATGAAATAAAGAGGGGTGAGCAGGACCAAGGATGAGAGAAG